CATACTAAATGGATCCTTAGGGTCTGCACCTAGGTATTATTACTTATTCATGTGTGTGCATGCATTTTTTAATGAGGCAAGCTAGCGAAAAACCACATAGAATAGAAATGGTTCTTTATATAACAACTTCTAATATATAGAAAAGCCATTTTTTGGTAACAGTGCATTCCATCAGTGGCTTTTATATCATGTTGCTTAGCAATAAACGTATATCCTAATATTGTTGTTAAGAGACTACATGTTGAAAGTATAAAATGTAAAGTATAAAAAAATATTTATTTGTCATTTTCCAGCACCCACTTTGTTTCTTCAACTGATGTTTTAAGATCAGAAGTTTTATGGACTTAGAGAACTATTGACTGTCATGGTTCATTTTATTCAAATGAAAGGTTCACAGAACTTTTCAAGAGTATGTTCCCAGGCATTGAAATTGCCCAAAAGTTTTCATATGGGGAAGACAAAACATCATTCTTAGCCATACATGGATTAGGTCCATATTTCACTTCCATACTGAAGCAGAAAATCCAGAAGTCTGATGTGTATGTTTTCTTGTTTGAGAGTTTGAACAATTCCCTCAAGATGAAACATCTTGATATTCATGCTTGCTTTTGGGTTGAAAAAAACTGTCTACACAAAATGCATCAAATCAAAGTTGTTGGGACATACTACTGCCACTGATCTATTTTACAGGCTATTCCCTATCATCACAGACCTTGGTTCTAAGAATTTATTGCAGACATTTATGGATGGTCCCAACATTAATTGGAAGTTACAAGAAATGTTATCAACTGAAACTAATAAACTCAGTACAAAAATAACACCTGTTACATGTTGGATCTTGTGGTTTTCACAAGAATTTTAGAGATGGGTGTAAAACAACTGACTGGAAAGTTGAAGAAACTGACTAATATTTTATTCTCCAAGAGCTGATGACCCTGAAATTGAGACCAGATGCTTGAACCTTCCACCAAAGTTTTGTAAGCACCAATTGCTGGAGAACATCAGTGTTGTGGGAAAGTGCTTGTCCCTGCTACCTCATATTAAGACATATGTGGGTGCTCAGGAAAACTCACCAAAATTAAAATCGTATATTCATTAAGCTGTTAATTCCCATCTCTTCATCCCCAAAGCTGTTTTTTCTTAGATGCTAGAGAAATCAGACCTTTTCTCAAAGAGTTCTAAGAAGATAAACTGATGTTGTCTTTTATGGCTTCATATATTTTTGGTGTGGTCAGGGAATTATTGGAAAAATATTGTCACTTCAGATTGACTGGAAAATATAACTGTACCACAATACATTGCAAGCCTGGATTTGACAGACAAAAAGATTTTAAAGGATCCTTCCAAAATTGATACTGGTTTTATTACAAAGAAAGTTCTTAATGATTCAAAGGAGGCTTCAAAACTTATTGGTAAGGACTTGCTAGAGTTTAGACATGAATGCAGGCAGTTCCTCAAGGCTTCTGTAGTGAAAGTTATTCAGAAATCTCCCTTAACTTACAGCTTGGTAAGGAACATGAGCTGCTTGAATCCAGAAGTAATGTTGTTAAATGCATCATCCTGTGCTATTATGTTTTATCTTATCTAAAAAGTCTGGGAGATACAAGCAGAGTGGAAGAAGGGGATTGTGACCCTTCTCAGACAGTACAAAGAGTTTCTCATGACATCTCTGCAATCACCTGATTCAAGAGTTTGTATGTCTAGGAGAGAGCAGGACAGACTGGATACTTTATACTGTCATCTTGTCAGACAAGAAACAATTCCATATGCTTAGGAGAGTTCAAAAACTGTCCTTTCCCTGTCTTATCGACAGGCCAGTGTCGAAAGGGGCTTTTCTGTAAATAAAGAAGCTATTACAGAAAACCAACAAAGCATGATCCTTAGTGCTAGGAGAGTCATAATTAACCACGTTAGACATGCTGGCGGTGTCCTGAATCTAGCTGGAAATGTTAGCCATAGGACACACTTAGATGAGAAGTCCAGAGTGTAGAAGCCACAGAAAAGCTGAAGAAACTGAATTAGAACTGGAAGATGTCCCAATATTTGTAATACATTTACATTTGCAAATGTATGTCCAGGAGCAGTTTCTTGTGTATCCCACACCAAATGATCCTTGAAAATGTAAACATGGTCGTTGAAAAGTTTTGTTTCTGCATTAGTGCAGGAATGCTTCTTAAAGAAATTATCTCAAAGTGTATGGGGTATATGGGATTGAAAAATGGCTGGATGGAATAATACAGAAAGTAGTTAAGTTGGAATGGGTTGCCTTCAGATGTGGTGGATGCAGGAAATTTAAGGGAGTTAAGGGAAAGGCTTAATAAATACATGAAATATAAGGTGTTTTTTTTTATAAACCTATTAATTGAAATGGCCTAGATGGACCAATAGTTCTGTTGTTGTCCTTGAATATTCGTTGTGTGATGTACTAGTACAAATCTTTGAGTTGCAAACAATAGTATATAAGACCATTAGACTAGAAGAATGAAAAAACAAGTACCATATTTTGAGAAGGGGAATCAGCCCATCAATCAGTCAACACTTCAAGATCCTATTCATGCCCCCACCCCAGTGGCACAGCAGTACGTCTGTGGAATTACAATGGTTTTCAATTCCTGTGGTGGGCGAAAGCACAGATGGCCCATTACATAGCTTTTTGCTTAACCAGAAACAAACAGACCTCCTCAGAGCACAGAATGAGGGAAGGCTGCAATCTCTTGAAACCATCATGATAAAATTAAGGAAATTGGTGATTGCAATAGGAGCAAAAGCTTCCATTAGATTTCTTGTGTTTTACCAGATATAAAATGTACAGTTTTGGTTTTTCCATTTTTACTTAACTCTTAGTTTGAAGATGTTTATAATCTTCAACATTGTTTTCTTGCAGTCAGAAGAATACAAATATTGCAGAGTCGTCTTTGATCGGAATGCACGTGATTTTACAAGTAAATTTGCTTTACAAAACACAGAGGTATGGAGCTTTGAAAATTTAAACTTTTGTTGGTTTTTACTTATACTGGAATATTTTAATATTATTGCTTTATAAACATATTTTGTTGGGCATTCAGTTGGCTTAAAGGTAATTAATGGTGCAAACTAAACTAATTTTATATTTATCCTGGCCATCTAAAATCTGTTCTTGTGTGTTTTGATAAAATGGTTTGAATATTTTGGAGTGTGTTATACACTTATAATGTGTATGATGCAACATTTATGTAATTTGTGATGTGTGTTAACTATGTTGTTATTAAATATGTTACACAATATAAATTTTAATTTTTTTTTTAGAATACTGAAATCTAATGTAGGATTTTCTGCTGTCACTCATAGAATTAGCAAAACAAACCTCTTAATTTCATAATAAAATAAAAGTGTTTGTTAAATTATGACTTGGTTTAACCTGAGTTGAGTGATTTTCAGGTGACAATTATTTAAAATAAATTATTCATAACTAAGCAGGGTCAAATATTTTTTATATAACTAAGCTTTTCTATGTGAGTAAGTCATATAATGTCAAAGATCAGAATGTCAGTTTTTAAATCTTTTCAAATGAATATGTGTGAACACTTGCAAGATTCTGATTTTTAACAAATTTACTGTCTTGGTCCAAGATGTACATGATTCCTCTAAATACCTGTGTTGACTTACTGGTACTGTGATTGGTTGACTTTTTTGTATGTATTAAAATAGTTGTAAAGAATATTGAAACACTTGAAGCATTCCAATGAATAATTACTCATTGTTACATAATACTTGAATTTCAAAATGTTGAGACTATTTTTAATGTCATAAACATTTATATATAATACTGAATATGTTGATATTCTATAACCTTATGTGTTGATTATAAAGGTATAAAATCTAACTTTTAAATAAAGTAGAATGGTTCCATGTTTTTATGGGGTTTTGAGTCCTTTTAACTCACTAAGCTGTGCTGATGAGCCTTGAAGAAACGAAACTTCAGTCCACAGCAGAGAGTACGGTCATTCAAAGAATGCATTAGATCTCTACCTCACAGATTCTCTTTTCAATTTTGGTGAAGAGGAAAAGATCTGTAACACACACACACATACATTAAAAAACAGTTGGTTCCCCAAGTTTGTTTGTTTTTTTCCATATGTCTTATATTTGAAAAAGTATATATCTTGTGTCTGTCATCTTGAGGCAGCTCTACCAGTCCTACAGGCTATCTGTTGTTTAGATTAAACAATAATATATACCTTTTCTAGGAGTTTGGTCTGATGCACTGTAAATTAGTGTAATCCAATTTAAAATATTTCAAATTAATGTTTATTAATTTCATGAGTAATATTATAGTAGTGTGCATATTTTGATTATATAAATCTTCTATATCTGTACAGAAAAAGAAAAAAAATTGAATTTTACAAACATAAACAAGGATAACTACCTTAAGAACGACATAGTATTGATACATGGGGACTTTGAAGATTGTGGACATAGTTTTAATTTACTGTAAAATATTGTCTGATAAGTTGTATTGTTTTATAGTTAAGCCTCATCTTTGAACATTTTGATTTTGATGATCTGTATTGAAATAAACTTAAAAATTCATGTAATTATCAATTAAGATTTCTGATCATAGTCTTTTTGATGCACAATAAAATTATAATTCTTTTGTACATATTGTCTTGGTACAGAATAAATTGATTTTAAAATTTTGTTAGACATGATTTTTTTTCATATTTTGAAAAATACCACACCTTTGGAAACATGACAGTACTTAAATAATATTCCGATATTTTATTCTAATTCACTATCCTTCTAACTGTAAACAGTCAATGTGATTATTAGGCTCAAAATATTTTTACTTTTATGTTTAATAACAAATATGAGTTTATTTATTGAAAATTGTTTTTTTCTCGCAGTTATGACATGTAAATTGTCAAAGCCTTGTGTATTATATAAGTGAAATATCTGGCTAATTTATAGTTTACATTTTCAGATTGAAGAAGAAAAAAGTTAAACAAGTATTTATTTACCATGAAATTTTTGCACATCATGTTCAACTATTCCTTTAAGTATTGATTAGCAAAACATTATTAACACTAGCAAAAAATCTCAACATTATATGCAGCATTTATTTCATTGGCTTCATGGAAATGGTGTGTTCATGCATCATTTGGCATGTGAGGCTATTCATGTCTTTTGGGGAAGGCTAGCTTCTTCATTTTAGTGTAGGTATTTTTGATATCCAATTTGTACATCTAAGTGCTCTGGAGGTATGGTCCATACTCAAGAACCCACGAGACTTTCATGCCAGTCAGGATTTGGGAAATAGGTACTATGTAAGTAGTAAGGGGGAAAATTGAAATAGCTGTCAAACTTGAAGAAAATTAATGTAAAACAAAGAATGTGTAGAATCTCTTTGGAGCATGCCCCAAAATCCCAAAAGTTTCATGGTGATCATAGGTTTGGAAGTTGGATAAATATTTTAATCACTGATAGATACAAAAACATATGTCATTTTATAAATGATTCTTACCAGTTTTTAACCGTTAGCATTTTATTATATCTAGAAATGCTACATTTTAACACTGATGTTTGAGGGCTCTTCTAAGATAATAAAATAATTCACCATGCACTTGCTGTCCAGAATTGGTTTGAAGAGCAAGACAGTGACTTCAATCATGTTCTGAATTAGCCAGCATAATCACTGGATTTCAGTCTTATTAGTTAAGCATCTTTAGAGCCTGATCAAATAAAGCACTTAAACATTTTGTGGAGTCCGTGTTATACCATGTGTAGACCATTGATGGGGCAAAAGGTAGTTCAACCTGATAATAAGTAGGGGTCATAATGAAGTGTGTATTCAGGGTATTTAAGCTTGTCATTAAACAAATGCTTCAAATTGTTTATCCATAAAGACTTGAGCAATTATGGGTTAAATGTTGAAAGCTAGTGAAACATTAGAAATCAATAAGCCTAAAACTTGTGATGAAAATAACGTTAATTGTAAATGTTCCTTTTCCACATACATCTCCATTTTTTTTTCTTTTTCAGATTTAAAATAAGAGGTATGTAAAAAATAGCATTTCAAATCTATCTTTTGTCTTTCAGAAATCACTACCCAACATCCTTAGGCCCAATAGAAAAGTTCTGGTATTCAATGAAAGACCTGCTAGGAAATGATTTGTGGGAGACAAAAGAAAGATTTGAAATGCTCTTTAATAAACCTCTGGATTTGAATCCAAAATGGAGAAATTAAGAGGAATGTTTGAAAAAAACAAACAAGCTACACTTAACATGATTATCACAATTTTAGGCCTGTTACCTTTTAAACATTTGCTTTTGCTTTAAGAATGTGACTAATAGGTTTTTAAAACCATTACTTAGAAGCAAAAGTAAACAACTAAACCCAATTTTGTTTAATTTCTCTGTAAAAAAATACCTTGTACCCAAATTATACCTCCAAATCTGTAGTACTTTTTTATTTTCACAGCTCCATTTGACTGCTTATTTTAACTTCTTGAAATATTTTCATCAGCGATGAAAGCACAGCTACGGTAAAAGTTATGGTGTGAAAAATCATAAGTCTTATGCAGGGGGAAGGGTGTTGCCATGAAACAAGGTTCCATATTCAAAACTATACAAAACTTGGTGCTTTTGAAACTTTTTACGTACGCCTTTTTTGTTTTTTAAATAATTTCTAGCGTTCAACGTTAGTATTAAAATTTTCTGTGCTTCAGGAGGTTTTTCTTCTAGTGAAGTTTTCTTTTCTAGAAGATTTTGCTTTGTTTTCATGCCATTCATATTGTAAGTTTTCATCTTAAATTTTGTAGATTTTCAGATTTTTCATATTGTGAGTAGCTTATATTTTTGAAAAGAAACCAAATCTTTGTTATATCATTTACTTCTTTACAAATTATATTTCCTTCTACTTATCTTGGTACTGTGTTTAGGTATTGTTTCTCTATTAAATGTTTACAGCATTTTAAGAAAGATTTGATTCCAGAAAATGGTTTTTGGTAAATAACAGTTTCCAATTTTCCCTTATTTTTACTCACTAGAACATCCAAAAAAGACTGTTATTTTCCTCATTGTCATATGTAAATTTAATAGAATTGTCAAAGTTATTAAGGTAATTAGTAAAATCAATTAAGTTCTCTTTATCACGCCGCCATACCAAAAACATCATCAACATACCTTAACCATATTTTGGTGTTTTTTTTTTCACTTTTCTTAACACTTCTGTTTCAAAACTCCAAGAATATATCACATAATAAGAGAAATAATGGAGAACTCATACCTAAACCTTCATTCTTTTCATAAACTCTACTTTTAATATGAAAAAAAGAATTTTTAATACATACTTAAACAAGATTAATCATATCAATTGTTTCTAAAGCTGAATTCTCATTTTCTTTTAATTTATTCCCAAAATATGCAATGGCTTTTTCTACAGGTACTTTAGTGAACAATGAATCATCAAATTTTTCCAGCAAATTTTTTAAAACATCTGACAGAAATACAAATTTCACAATATATATAGTTTTCTAGCAGAGAATAAGACATTCCAGAAATGTCTAGAAAGTATTAAGATTAAAGTACATTAATTAACAAAAAAACGGAAAACAACCAATATCAGTCAAATAGCTAACATTGGGAAGATGTCTTAATTGTTATCATATCAGCTTCAAGATACTTCAGTCATTCCAAAGTAAATTGCCAGTCAAGTGAAAGATTGAGTGTTACTGAAAATGATTAATTGCCAAGAAGGATCAAACAACATGTGGTGCAGCATGGTACCATGGGTTTGCTACTACTTAATTAATATCTAAATTTCTATGTTCTTTCAACTCAGTTTGTACACAGAGAATCACTTAACCTTTTCACTGGAGCTAGGCTGTATATTTCCATGTTATCCCACCTCCTCACATTGCGACTGAGACAAATGGTTTCCCATTGTTATTCAAAATTGTCATGCATGATGTATGGGAGTAAAATTAATTGAAAAATATTTATTGGCATCCCACCTAATGTTAATATATGGTTTCCCTCAATGTTTTCCACTCAGCCCTTCGGTAACCAACGAGATGCCTTAGCAGAATGTACAACAATTGCATGCTGACCATGCGTGTACTTTTTATTCTTCACGAACTCAGTAAGATTCAGAAAGTTTGTTTTGTTTTGAATTTTGTGCAAAGTTATGTGAGGGCTATCTCATCTAGCTGTCCCTAATTTAGCAGTGATAGACTAGTGGGAAGGCAGCTGGTCAACATTATCCACCATCAACTCTTGGGCTACTGGAATTGACTGTTACATCATACTCTGTTACTACACTCTGAATTCAACATATTAAAATATTAACCTAAGAATCCTTCACAGCTAAAAGGGCAAGCATGTTCGATGATGGGGAGTCAAGCACCCTAACCAATTCAGAAAGTAGTGTACCCATATTCTGTGACATAGCATTTGTCAAATTTCCTTTTTATAGATTGTTTTTTTAAATTTTGTGTAAATCTGCTAATAGACTAACTCTTCTAACCATCCTTAATTTGAAATAGACTAAATGGAAGGCAGCTAGTCAACACCACCCACTTATAAATTGTGGGTTACTCTAATTAAATAGTTGGATTTGATATCACTCTTTTTAACACACTTATGATCCTGAAGTGCAAAGGATGAAGCTTTGATGGTAACGAGCCTCGGATTCACAGTATAGTATGCTAACCACTGGGACATACTCGGTTTCCTCATAAGCAGACCCCTGCAAAGTTTCCACATTTTGTTGTCTGAGCTTGCAATAATGAAAATTTGAAATGAATTGTTACTACAGCGGAAGTCACGTGACTCTGATAACACGTCATGAGCTTCTAGAACGTTCATGTCCCTTCCTGAAGCCTCGAGTGTTTACTAGATATGCGGTATTCTTGTATATAAGACCGGTAAGAAGTGACGGCAACAATGTAGTTGAATGCAGACAGAGATAAAGACGGACAGTTGGGTCGAGCGCGTGAGTTGTTCGTTGTGAATTATAGCGTTTGTTTAACTTATAGCGTGACCGTGGAAATTAAGTGAATTTCAAAGTTGTATTGAGAAAGAATAAACTAGTTTTATTTAAGAAAGGACTTGTGTCGCTAAAGTTTCATCGGAAAGAAATTATACGGGAAATTAACTAACGACCAGAGACGTAACAGAATTTTATATTTAGAATCTACACAATATACTCCAAACCGAGAAAGCTAACAAAATGCTGATATTATGTAAGTTAGATCTTCAAAAAAATTAGAATAAGTATTCAACCACTTTGCGATGACAATGCTAAATCAGTTCAGTTGCCAAAAATGAAAGGTCACAATATTAGTGTAATCACCTCTGCCAATGTGTAGTCAAAGTGGTTTAACTTGATTTCTTAGTAAATGCATTTATTCAAGCCACAGCTCATATAGTGATACGACAAACCAACCATGAAGACCAAGGAGCTTTCCAAAAAAGTCAGGGATAAAGTGGTAGAGAAGCACAGATTAGGGGAAGGTTACAATAAAATGTCAAAGTTGCTGATTATAAGATGTAGAATGTGCTTCATACCATACAGTCACTACCAAGATCAGGCTGCTTTTCCAAACCAAGCAGCCGGGCAAGCAGGAAACTGGTTAGGGTTTCCAGTAACTTTGAAAAATTTGCAAAGTTCCAAGTCTGAGATGGGAGTCAATGTCCC